GGTCGATACCCAAGATAAAGAGGAAGTGCTTCAACACGAGGCCATGCTTCTGAATCAGGATAGCCACAAACTCGAAATATGGCTTCCAACTGATCTAGTTCCTCGTTAGCTTGAAACATGGGTCGTCCGCTGAACATTTCGCCTAATATGCACCTAAATCAAAAAATAGCAGCCAAAAAGCCAGTTACGTAGCGTAGAGTCTTATTTAATAATTTAAAATACTTTCGTTCAGTTTCACCTACCCACAAGACCAGATATCCACAGAAGGACCATACTTCTCCTCACCCAGAAGTAGCTCTGGAGGCCTGTACCACAAGGTTATAACTTTATTAGTGTATGGTCGCTCTTTATCGCCAGAAGCATATAATCTGGCAAGGCCAAAGTCGGCAAGTTTCAGCTGCCCCCTAAGTGTGATATAAAAATAAGAGAAAAATAGCATGTTAAAGAGTAAAATATTGAATTGATGGGTCCAAGCAACAACTTAACATGTGACTAATACAATTAAGTTTTTTCAAAAATAAATGTCTATGGAGATTGCTGCTTACTTATTATTGATGAGTATGTTAGAGCACTTAATGTCTCGATGCAGAAAACTGTTGTTGTGACAGTAATTAAGTCCAAGCATAAGCTGTTTCATGAAGGAACCGATATGCAGTTCGGAAAATGTGACCAACCCAGACTCCAAAAGGCCATACAAATCGTGATCCATATAGTCGAATACCAGAAAGAATGCACCTAGTGATAAGAAGCAGAAATATGTAAATAGAATTAACGCGAAACTATACAATAGTTTCAGCAAAATATTGGAATCTATAAAGTGATACCTTTGTCTTTTTTGAAGTCAGTAGGATCATCTTTATCGGTGACAATTTCACAAAGGTTCACAATATTTGGATGGCGCAACTGCCTAAGGATTTTAATCTCACGGACCGCTGTGATAGGGAATCCCTCTCTTTCATTTTCTAAACGTACTTTTTTGAGAGCCTTGAAATCACCTGAAATAGTAACCAAAGTTATCGAGCTATACAGCACAGGATCCTATAGATATATTAGGTAATGAAAGCTGGTGAGAAAATTACATTTAGTTACCCGTAATTTTATCTCTCGCTTTGTACACGTGTCCATAGGCTCCTTCACCAACTTGTACTAAGGGCTCGAATGCAGTGACAGACCTCTCGCCCCATGTTCGAGAGCTTCGCCCTTTACTGCGTGATTCGCATATTCTGTTTAATAAAAAAAGTCAGTGGCCAAGAAAAAAGAATGTAGCAGTATCGCAATAAAAATACCTGGGGCGTTGAATAACAGTGAGACGTAATTGTCTTTTGCTAGAGGTTCTAGAAATACTAGTGGTACATGATCTTGCTACAGCCTCAGTATTATCATGGTTTCCGAAGCCCGGAGGCAAAGGCAATTCCGAAATCGAAGGCCTTCTCTGAAAATCATTCCTTAAGAAATAAATCAATAAGTAAACTTACTTGTTCAAGGGTTCTGTTGGAGGCGATTCAGCTGGCTTCGGCAGCACCTTGGAATCCAAAGTCTCCGGCTCGTCAGGAAGTGAATGGCATTGGGGAACTACAAGTGGAGGGTCTGGAGGGGTAGGAGGCAATTTAGGATCAGATACGATAAGCTTTTCCTTTGGGATTAAAGTAATCGGATCTGGAGGCAGATGTATCTCGTCTAAGGATACATTAGTCTGAGTGGAAATAGCAATCTCTTTTTGATTTTGGAAAGAGGTTGATGCCTCTAGCGGAGGAAGGTTATCAATAGACGATACTGCCTTCATGGTCGATACTAGTTTAAATGGGCTATTTTCATTACGCTTTGCACGCCTGACTTTGAAACTTTGATGCTTAGACAACTCTGACATTAAACTGGACTTTTGAATAAGTGTATTAATATCTGTGCATTCGTGATAAGAGCCCTTCTTTTTGTCGCGGCGATGCTTTTTATCCTTGCTCTTGCTTCGAGAATGCTTTTTATGCTTTTTATGCCTAAACAAATCAGAAGGCTCAGAAATATACCTTTTGACAGGTTCGATAGTACGAGAAGAATAATCTGGAGACAAATCTTCGCAATGCCTCCTCTTATGCCCTGAGCTTTTGTGGGGATTTTGATCATCTTCATATTCTAAACGGGTCTTGGGTCGTTTCTTGTGCTTATGACTACGGCTGTGTGATGAAGCATAGTCATATTCATCTGGGCTATATTCGTGTCTGGAAGAAATCCTAAGGATAAAATCCCAGATAAAAAACTACCTTTCATCGCAGTAATCATATCGACTGGACCTTTTCCTTAAAATCGCAAAAGTGAAACAACAATTTTCTTACATATTGGAAGGACCAGGCAAGATGCACTGCCCGCAAGGCGCCAGAGCTAAACGAAAACCCCCTAAGTGTTTAAACAGCATATAATTATTTTTCAATTGTATTTTTCTTTAGTATAAATACTAATTAATTAACCAGACATTCTTCAATAGTTTAGGCTATAATAAAATGTATCTGTAACTTAACGATTGCGTAATTTAGCTAATCAATGGGAAGACATTATACATAGTATGCATGCTACTAAAGCGGTATGATCAAGGGCAAAAAAATTTCTTATATGAAAGAATGAAGTAATAAAAATGATGCGCGTTTTGAATAAAATTAGTCGGTTTTGAGTTCTGTGCTGTAATAGGTAATAGGTATAGCAAAATGTATGAACATAAGGTGCTGTACAACATAAATAAAATTATCTATAATATTTTAAAGTAAAAACAAA